TCAACATACTTGGACAGTCTCACGATGTCCAAATGTGTACATTTCTATTGAGCATGATGTTAATACTTAGGAGTAAATTTCTGGGTCATAGGGTGTGTATATATTCAGCTTTAGTAAATATTGCCAAACAAGTTTCCAGAGTAGCTGTACAAATTTACACCCCTTCCAGCCACATGGTTACTAATATGTTTTCATATGTTCTTGGCTGTTTGGACATCCTCCTCTGTGAAGTGTCTGCTCAAGTTTCTGTCCTTTTTGTTTGTTTGTTTGTTTTTTAAATCAAAGAAAGTCTGTCAATCCAGGGCACTCCTGGGCAACCTGGATGTACCCTTCTCAGTAGGGGAAACTGCTAGGAAACCTACCAAGAGAAGAGCTGTCCCTAACTTAACTCCCCCCCTCTGTACCCCCCTTGCTTTCCACCACCAGCCAGGCCTGCAGACCTTTCCCATTAGCTGGAGTCCCCTTTAACCATCTAATCTAGCATCACGAGTCTTCTGATAGTTTCTTCCTTCTCCCCATCCAAACACTACCCCCAGGTGGCTTTTTTCTTAATTGAGATATAATGGACATAACATTGTATTCATTTTTGGTGTACAATATAATGATTTGTACATAATGTTCTTGTCCATTTTTAAGCTGAGTTTTGTCACATTGATTTGTAGTGATTTTCATGTCTTCTGGATGTGAGTCTCTGTGGCTAACTAACCCTTTTACTCTTTGAGGATGTGTTTTGATGAATGGAGGTTCTGAATTTTAATATATTCTAATTATCAATTGTTTTCTTTATAGTTATTGTATTTACTAACAGTCTGTACACTCACTAAAGATTATATAGTTAACATATTTTCATGTCTTTTTAAAGGAGTCTTTGTATATCCCAAGGTAATGGAGATACTTACATTTTTTTTCATTTTTTTGTCTCTCCTTCTCTACCAGTTACACCCTCCGTCTAAAAGAAAGAGTGCGCCCGCACGAAAACAAGCAGGCAGGGGGGAGTGGTGTGTGTGACAGACAGTGAGGACGCTAGGTGGGTGCGGAGAGTCTTTTGGGAAATAAATCTAACAAGGTAGATAGATTAAGGTTGGGTGGAACGAACCAGGAAAAACAGACTAAAAAACCAGCTTACTTATTACTTAAGTGAGCATGTTTTGCATGCACTACCCAACCATCTTATATATAGGTATAATACTTTTGTCTCAAGAGGGACCATGCAATAGTTTGGATGACTCTATACAAATTGCTCTCTTTACTCCCAATAAAACAACAACAGCAGCAAAGCAAAATAAAACAGAAAACTGTATTATTTACTGACTTCATTTTATGTTTAAAAAATTAATTTATGTGGAAGGGTATGTATAACAATATCTTGGCCTAGTTAGCTATCATTAAATTACTTCTTTTTTTTTACTAAGTCTAGTAAATGTTTCCTATCCTATGAGTTGTCCTAGATAGTAGCAGTATGCACTGATACTCCTGTTAAACAAACAAGCAACAAAAAGCCCTTCCAGAAATAATTTGTATTAATTATCTAGTCATTATTCCATTGAAAACCAATAAAAAGTTCTCTGTTAGAATTATCAGTTTCCTTAAAATGTATTAATTTAAAATACAGTTTTTCTTTTATGAAAATATCATTTGTACCTGATTACTGGAAGAATGTGGATGTAATGTTCTCATAAACATTTTTTCTTAAACAATTGACTATGTAAAAAGTGAGGTATCATAGTATCTAAAGATGTGTGTGTGTGTGTGTGTGTGTGTGTGTGTGTGTGTGTGTGTACACATATATATTAGAAATGTATGCTTACTTGGTTTTACCAAGTGATAAGAGTTATGTAGTTCAAGTTTAAAATAGTTTTGGTATATGACTGACAAAATGACAATACATTTGATAACTTGCAACTGTAGTTTTATGCCATTAAGGTATTTCTCTTCTTATTTAGTATGACATAATAGGCTACATTTTATTATCCAGACTATCTTTCTGACTCTTTTGGGAAAATAAAATAGGACCAGATAGTCAAGTCTTATTATCTACTGACAGTGATAGACAGGAAGTATATGGATAATGAAATTCATTGTCAATTTCAGCCTATAAAACTACGTTAGCCAGGATTTTCTACATCTTCCTCCAGAAAGCCTGTTGTTAGAGTTGCTATTGATAACTGAGATATGGAGGGTTTCAGTTTCAATTTTTTATTCCTCCTCTTTCCTTAACAAAGATGCTAGGGAACCATGAGTTGGGTCAAAGTCCAGGAGAATACAAAGTGTAGGAAGATGTATAGAGAGCTAGACAATCCAGAGAGAAGCACCCCTGAAATACTAAATGGAATTCCCATTAAACATAATGCTTTCCTTACATCCTTGTTGGGTCTGAACGGCCACTGATTTGTGTTCAGACATTAAACTGAAGAGAAGTTGTTTGAAAACATGCTTCCTTAATGGACAGAGCCTTCCATACATTTTCAGAGGAGTAAACAGTAAAGTTATACAGTTAATTCTGGTTTGATAAGCAAATTTGTGACTTTCTAGTTATATTCTCAAAGAAAGCTAAGAGTGTGTTTTCCTCCTAAAAATATTATGGTCCTAGGAAAGCTTTTGATCAGGGCCATTCCTAATACTTGCAGGCCTGAAGCAAGAATAAAAATGGAGGCCATGGGCTATATGTCTAAATTTAAAGTCATAATTAATTAAAGCCAGCGAACTGTTAAATAAAATGTGATCTATACTCCTTTCTGGATAAAGTGCGTTCATTATGTCCTAGAAGGCCAGATTTGAATTAAAAATTCTTGGACCCTGTGGGGTTCCTGTCAGAACGTCACATGTGAGAGTTGGACCCTGGCCAGCTCCCCTTCCCTTTTTATCCTACACTTCTAAGCTCCATTCTTTTATTTTTAATTAAAGTTTATTGGGGTGACAATGGTTAGTAAAGTTACATAGGTTTCAAGTGTACAATTCTGTAATACATCATCTATCACATTATGTTTTCACCACTCAGAGTCAGTTCTCCTTCCATCACCATATATTTGACCCCATTTGCCCTCTTCTACCATCTCCTCTCCCCGCTTACCCTCCATTCTTACCTTCCTAAAACACAACTGCCCTTGCCCACCGCATGGATCAACATAGATTCTCAAATTCTAATCTCTTTACACATAGACATGAAACACTTAAAATCACTTCCATGTTCTCCCATATTCTCATGGTCTTCTTTAAGTCATTTTGGGTTGAATGGGATATGATCATTTTAACGAGCTCCCAGTGATTATGATTATGCCAGACATAGATATAGGTTGTTTGCATTTATTCTTCTTAAAGCTAAGTATTTCAGTCAAGCAAGACACTGAATTTATGCATACACAGACTCATGTACACACACAGACACACAAATTATTTGAGCTATTGCTATTTTAAGAAGTAAATTTTCAAAGTTATCTTTCTTTTCCCTCATTGTAACATTTTAGGAAACACTACCTTGAAACCAAAGCAAAGTAAAATTCAGGAAACAAGAACCTAGCCTGGCTGCTACCTCCAGGGTAGCAAGTCAGTTGTTTATGTACCTGTTCAGTCTTCAGTCCCTCCTAACTGTTGGCTTGGAATGGGGTGGGGGCCGTGGGACAGGGGGAGTGATGAACTTGCCCTGCTTTTCTCTGGGGCAAACCTAGGTCCATCATTTCCCTTTAACTTCTGGGAGGAAATATAGCACGGCTGGATAACGCTGATTCAACGTTTGGAGTTTTAAATGATATGTGACAATTAGCCAACTAATTTTTCGAATACAATGAGAAAATTTCATAGTATTAAATCATTCCTAAAGGATGAGGTTTTAAAGAAGACAGGTTTCTTCATTTTAAAGCTTAAATACTTAGATGGGTGTTTAAGAGAAAATCGAGTGTGGAATTTGATCCTATGTTCTCAGGCTTCATGAACAGGGAGGTGCCATATCTCTGTTGACTCTCCTGGAGTTAGCTGGAGATAACTTGTGTTGAAAATGTTGGCTTTGTAGATAGAAATGGAAATCATTAAAATAGATAAACCAAAGAAAGAAAGTCAACATAGAAACAGAAATAGAATTACTAGAATGTTGGAAATGACCACAAGCAATTATTAAGTACATGAATCAATGTCTGTGTGCAACCATTTTCCACTTCTTCAGTTCACGGTGCTAATTTTATGTTATGTGAACATGACAGTGTGGTCGGAGCAGGTGGCAAGCACATTCTTGGCATTCTCTCATTAACATTTAATTCCCACATAAAATAGACATATTAGAACAATCCCAGAAACTAGTTGAATTGTTTCCTCAGTTTACAAAATCAACCCAAAGCAGGTCGGAGTGGGGTGGGTCAATGTTGCACTTTGCTACACCATCATACACAATATTACTTTGCATCTATAACATCCGTAAAGGTTTCCCTATCATGTGAGGTGAAAGGAAGGAGCATGTTTAAGTCCCAGCTTTGAAGCTGATGTGTTAATTGTTAACTTTTGCTGAGTCTGTACATTAAAAAAGGTAGCAATCTCAGCATGTGAAGATCATAAGTGTTAGATGCTTGGAGGCAGCAGCTGTGCTGATGTGAGCCATTAATGGCTGGATAGATTCAATCAGATATGCCGCCTCCAGTGTCTTTATGTCATGGTATTTACTAGATTTCACATGGACTGCTGAGAATGATGAAATATAATCTCATGGATTATCTCTGTCTTGAAAAAAATAGATAATGAAATTGTTCTCTTGCTGGCATATATTTTATTAACCTCTTTGGAGTCAACTTAAAGAGCAGATGTCCCTATAGAGTTTAAACCTTTTGCTCAAGTGGAATGTTAATAAGTGCATTTGTGAGTTCTCGAAACAATGGGGTTGAGTAGAGTAGGTAAGTATTTTGTTTTTTACAACCACTCAGAGAATAATATGGCATATTTTGAGGCTAGCTGGAGAGAAAAAAATTAAATGTAAATTGTATACAAATAAATTCTTTTTTCTTTCTTTTTTCTTACAGAGTTTGGAGAAAGTTCATGTGGAATTCAGTCACAAGGAGTTGTTTGATTTCTATAACAAGGTCCATATTTTAAAAATCATTTCTGATAAGTGGGCTTTTTCCATAATGTTTCCTTCACTTTATGTTTTTGTTTTTTTTTAATGCCCTATTTTGGAGCTAAGTTCTTTAAACTTCACTTGTAAACACCTTATGTTTCACAGTAGGAAGCATTGCCGAGATGAGGAGAATCTGACAAACTAAATCAGGAAGAAAATGGAAATGGTTTTAATTAAAGCAATAGGATTGTAATGAGCTACGTGGTACCCAGCCACACTGGCATTTTAGGTATAAGTAATGTTAAGTATTTTAATTTCTGGGAAAAGGGAGATGCCAATCTTTCAGAGATTTATTTTTGATCCTATTTCATGATGCTTTCCAAATACTGATTTTGTAATTCAGGAAACCACCATCCCCCTTTAAAAATCTTATATAGTGATCATTTAAAATGAAACAACAGTAGTATTTAGAAATCCTCTTTTGCAAATTTGGAAAACTTAGCAAACACAAATTCTAATATTGTCACATAAAAAGAAAAACATTTTAAGTGGTATATTTATTGCTGTGTGAATGGAGTTCATATACATAATTGCCTATGCCATTCTTACCCTCCTGTTTGCATGTTTGTAAACACTGCATATGAATTTCTCTCCCCTCACCAGCTTTCTCTCTTTTTTTGTATCTGTAAACAGCTAGAGACCATACAAGCGCAGCTGGATTCCCTCACATGATGCTCTTGAAGACTGGTTTCTCCATCACATTCCTGCCACCTCATTATTTGGCTTTGAAGATAGACTGCCAGGTTGTGTTTTCTGAAGGATTCAGTAGTTTTCTTCTTGTAAATTGTATGGTTTATCACTTCTTAGACAAATAAGAGCCAAGGGAGATCATTGTGCTGAGGACTGAGGCTCTCATATACTTTCTCTCGTTCTGTGAGCCAACAGCAAGCAATTGTTAAGAACGTTTTGCTTTAAATGAAACAAAAGTGAATACCATATTGTTTTTACTGTCCTGTTTTTGCTTTATTGCCTAACCAGTTTATTTTTTACATATTTGATGATTCCCATGTGTATCGAGGAGGGTCCATGGATATAAGGTATAATGTGTACCTTAGACTACAGACCTTCAGTCATTACATTAATAAAAGTAAGAAAGCAGTCACATGCAATTAAATATATTACAGCATTTTTCCTTGAATATAATGAGTATATTTTACTTTGGAAATAACATAGGAGAGAAATTTAAAATAGAGCTAGTAACAGCATACCAGGTAATTCCAGTGTGAGCTTCTCTGTGCACTTTTATTTTTTCTCTGTGTTTAATGATTTAATAATAGTCCAAGTTTTGTATGCTTTTCTTTGTACTGCAAATTAATAATGATTCACTTCATAGTGTGGGAGACAGATTCAGATCATTAATAAAAGGATTGTAATGAGTGCTAAATGTGTGTGCTTAGAATTAAAAAAACACATACCTTTTACATTCTCTACCTGTATATATGTTAATTTCAGTCAATAAAATTTTTATGTCTTAGAATTAGTTGAACTGAAGTGCACAGTATTTCATGCTATGAACACACACACACACACACACACACACACGTATATATGAGTATCATTGCCTGTAAAAAATAATATCAGTTGAATTTTTTATAAATGAAATATCTGTCCTATGTTGTTTCCAGAGAGACAGAGGAAGGGAAGGAGAAAGGAGGGAAGGGGAAGGGGAGGGGGAAAAATGAGAGAGAGAAAAAGAGAGATTCAAACATGACTTTCTTTACATAAAGGAATTTGATTTCAGAAATATCCCATAGTTAAACAAACAGAGCCATTGATATTAAATCACATTCTTTATATGAGTTCTCCAGATGTTAAGTGTCTCCCAAATAAATGTTCAATATACAGAATTTAGGCCCTTATTTATATGTACACTTCCATGTTGTTGCTTAGAAGGATTGGGAGTTTGTATTATTGCAGAAAGTAAATGTTATAGTTGCTCTCAATAGTTGATCAATTTAAAAAGTTTTAAACTCTACTTCCATTGGTAGGATATCTGGAAGACATGTTTATAATATAATGGAATTTGTTTCCATATGTCTTGGCGGGTCGGTCTTATTTGTGTGTGTGTGTGTGTGTGTGTGTGTGTGTGTGTGTGTGTGTGTGCTCTGTTCTGTCAGACCCCAGAGGGAACTACCTGATTACTATAAATATTNGACCCCAGAGGGAACTACCTGATTACTATAAATATTTTGGTAAATATTCTTTCAGACTTCTTATGTACAAATAAATAGTATATATCATCTCAAGTTGAATTTTTTAGGCCTTCCTGACAATGACCATATAGATAGGTAAGAGTTTTCCTTGGTTTAGTAGTCAACATAACTCCCAATGTAGGTATCTAAGTTAAATGTGACAATTCAAAATGAAATTTTGTATTAGTAGCTCATTTTATACCTCCTAAAAGAGCTTATTTTGTATTCTTTAAGAGTATGTCTAAACTTATACAAAAATGTGGTAAATAATTTTCTTTCCATTAGTCTAATTCAAGGAAGTCTGACCAAAGGCATTGAAGAAAGGACAAGTAGAAGGTCTAATTCCAACTGAGAACATAATTATTTCTGAAATATATTTAATGGCAGATAATTTTATCCCTTAAGGCACCACTGTTATACAAGTCAAAGAAAATATCATTCCCCAAAAATATTAAATGCGTGTTACTTTTTTATAGAAATAAGATGGTGGATGGATAAGTGGGGATTGGAACCTACTATTTTAGCAAATAAATAATGCCTTGTATGAGTGCTTGACATGAGGATTGAATAAAAATAGAATTACTTGTTAGAAAGGAACCAATGTACTATTTTTATATCTACTACAAATAATACCTGCAATTCTTCAGTTATAAAAATATAATTTTTAATTAGGAAATACCAAAAATCATAAGTAACCTAAAATTATAGAATCTCATCACCCAGAAATGGCCTTACTGACAATTTGGTATATTATATTGAAATTTTTCTTCTATCCATATATCTTTCTCTTTTTTCTCTTCCTTTCCCAGCAAATTGAAGGAATGCCATAAATACAGTTTCATACTTTGCTTTGCTTATATAGTATTATAACATAAGCATTTTGCATGTCCTTATGGTCTAAAACATAATTTTAATATGTATTGAAGTGTCCATCATTTGAAAGAGCTACACTTTAGTCATCCAATCTATGGTTGGATATTTAGGTTATTTTAATTTTTTTTTTTTAATTTTATTGGGGAACTGGGGGAGGGGAACAGCACTGAGGAATCAGGGAAGGGGAACAGATAAGTTGCTGTCCTTTTGTTCTTCAGTCTAGTTGTGGAGGATGTCTCTTCACTGGCCCATGTTGGTATTATCATTGCGCTGTCCTGGGTGAGGCTGTCACTAGCTGGCCATTGGACGGTCACTCACGGCGGCTCACACCAGCTGCTGGCCAGCCCCAATGCAGCCTACACTGTTGCTGGCGACTCAACTGCAGCCCAGCTCCAGGTCGAGCTGTTGTTCACCATCTTAGCTGTAGAGGGTGCAATGTCACTGGCCCTCATGTGGGATCCAAACCTGGGCCCTGCTGCTCAGAGCTGGCATCCCACGCCAACTCGTAACCAACGTGCCACTTGGCCTGCCCTATTTTAAATTTTTTAACTTAGTAAAGAACTCATTGGTGAATATCATTATATAGAAATCCTAGACCACATCTCTTGTTATTTTATTAGTATAGATTCCAAGAAGTTGGATTATTATGTCAAAAGTATAAAGATTTTGTTTCTATTTTTATCTTTAATGGGATTTGATTATAAAATAATAATTACACATTATAAAAAAAAGTTACTCCATTTTGCCATCTCACTCCTCAGAAATACCTACCAACTAGTTAGAAATATTTGGTTGATATTGTTTTAGACATCTTATGCACACACATCCCTCTTTGTGTATATTTATATTTATATTTATTTTAAAGCATGTTTGATATTGATAAATTGTTTCCCCAAAGATTCATCAGTTTATACTCTTATCAACAATAAATGAACATTCACCTGCCTCAAACTAACTTCATCAGTCCCTTCCTCCTGTGCATTTCATTCTTAACGGTCTCTTTAACCTAGGATTGATTGGGTTTTGGGAAGAGTGTGGGGGTGAGAGTGGGTTGAAAACAAGAACATCACTAATTACTTCGGGTATGTCATGTGGATAACTCCAGAGGATTTAAGAGGAAACCTTTTCTAAAATCAGCAAATGTGAGAGACAATATCACAATATTTAATTAAGTATAAAAGCATTGAAGTTAGACATTTATTTCCTTAACAAATACTCAGTGAGGGCCTGTGGTGCCAGGAACTGTGTACCCTAAACACTGTGTTAAATGTGGTGAGCAAACCAAATATAGTTCCTGGCTTCTTGAAGGATAACATGTTAGTCATTCTTTAAAAAAAGCAAAATGTAATAAATTGTGTACAAGTGTGGGATGAAAAATAATTGGATTCTATTAAGAAATTAAAAGATGGGACCTTGAGGCATCAAGGAAAGATTCGCTGAGAATATGAGACTTGATCCAAGTCCTGTAGGTTGAGTTAGAATGAAGCAATAGAAAACTAGAGCAAATGGCATCCTAGACAGAACGGCCCAGGCAAAGTCCCAGAGATCAAAAAGGCTTAGCTCATTTCGGGAACCAAAGAAAATCAGTGTGGCTAGAGTGTAGTGAACAAGGGGATTAGCAGAGTGCAGCGCAGTGAGAGAGGTAGTCCCGTCACTTTTACCACCAAAATATCTGGCAAATGTATCTCCAGGACACTACCTTTTCCAAGCTACCATCATCTTTGTCCTGGACTACCCTGTTTTCATTCTAGCCCCTCTTCAGTCCAGTCTTCACACAGATCTAATATTTTTAAAACATTAGTCCTATTAATTATACTATCTCCCTGCTTAAAACTCTTCAAAGGCTTCCCATTACACTGCAAATAAAATTTAAGTGTCCGGACTCTTAGGACAGACTAAGAGTCATATCCTAGTTCTACTATTTGTGCTATATAATTTATTAAAGCTCAGTTTCCTCACCCTTATGGTGGAAATAATAATCTAAATAACATGAGTGCTATAAAAATTGAATGAGGTAATTCATGTTAAACATTTAGCATATCAGCTTTAAAGAAGGAAATAGTACCATTTGCAATGATATGGATGGAACTAGAAAACATGCTAAGTGAAATAAGTCAGAGAAAGACAAATACCATATGATCTCATTTATATGTGGACTCTAAAGAACTGAATAAATGAGAAATGTAAACAGAAATAGTCTCAGAGACACAGAGGAAAAACTGAGGGTTGCTAGTTGAGACGGGGGTGGGGATGAAGGAAAAGGGGAAGGGACGAGACAATACAAATTGGTAACTTCAATATGGCCTCAGGGATAGAAAAGACAGTCTGGGGAATATAATCAATAATGTTGTAAATATTTTTTAGGGGGCCAGATGGACTCATGTCTTGTTAGGGAGACCACTTCATAGTCAGCATAGAGGCCTGACCACCACACTGTATTTCTGAAGCTGAGGTTGAATAATATTGTATGTCAACTGTAATTATATATACATATAGTCACAGGATGTGTAGTAGAGTGTGGGAATGGAGTCAATGGAATTGTAATAGATAAGTATGATATCGGGGGTGGGAGGGCAGTAGACGGTGGAGGGGGGTGCTTCTGTCTGAAGGGTGTAAAGGATAACTATTGCATTGTTCTGTACACATGAAACTAACAATAAAAATACAAAAAGCATAGGTTAAAAAAAAACATTTAGCATAATTTCTGATTTGCAATAATCACATATTAAGTGCTGGCTGTCATTTTCAAAATCACTGAAAAAAAAAATGACCAGGCTTTCTGTTGAAATTGTTCCAGGTGAGGTTTGAATTAAAGTCAAATTTGCAGAAAGCTTACAATGAAGCCCCTTCACTTTGAATTTACTATAACAACTTTGAATTTCAATAACAACTCTACCTTATCATCACTGGGTTCAAACATAATGCCAATGTATCCCACTCTTAATTTTGTATTAACAAAATAAGGTAATAGGTGTATTATGGGATGGGACCAGATTCAGAATTTTTTTTTCTGTGATTATCTTTATACATAGCTCTTCTGGCTCTGAGAAATCTTTCCTCTAACTCGATTCCATGAATTTCTATGTCTTCTTACCTTGAACAATATCTTCTTATCCTTATTCATTATACCCAGGGGCAGCAAACTATGGCCCGTGGTCCTAATTTTATAAAGTTTTATTGGAGAAGCTGTAGTGAACAGTCTCCCAAATCATTCCTGCCTTTTGGTATTCACACCTAGGTATAATCCTCTCCCCTTGAGTGTGGGCGGCACCTTACTTGCTTTTAACCAACTAGTTATGGCAAAGGTAATAGGATGTCATTTCCATGATAGTTACATTAATTAAAATTCTTTTGTGCTCCCAAATTCACTGCAGAGACTTTTTCTCTTTTTGGCTTTGAAGAAGCAAGCTCC